GCCGCCGCAAAAGTCGCGGGGGAAGGGGGGGCGGGCCAGCTGCTGAACAAAGGAAAAAATTGGGAAAAGCTCCCTGCCGGCCTTGAAAGCGCGAAGGGTCTCTGGCGCGCGGTCGGAGCGCGGCGCGGCGCGGCTCCGCGGTACAATGTTGAAGGGGACGGGAGGCATCCTGTAAACATGGAAAGGGGAGCGCGCGTGGCTTCGGCCGCTTGGAGAAGCCAGAGGGGCAGGACCCTGAAAGGTGGCCTGGTTGCGCGGCCGTTCCCAAACCAGGGCTTGCAGAATCAGCCCCGGAGACCTGGTGCCGGCCCTCGCTTAGCGCTAAGCTGCAGTTACCGGGTGTGCGGGTCGCTCTTAGCCCCAAGCAAACAAGTCACGCTGCGGGTCGGTGTGACCGTTGAGTAGAACCCTATCATGTGCCGTTGGAGTGAGTGAAGGTGAGGTTTCTGGGTGGCTACAAGCTAGAAAAACCACCCTCGCAATTGCATAGCACTCTTCAGGTGGTGAAAAGGCTCTGCAAGCTGAAACTGGCACGGTTTACGTTTAATTTGCAAAAACAGCACTGGGCACAAAACGTGGCGGCGAGAGCAGTGCCGTTAATCATTGGCTCATGTAAAGCCAGTTGCATTCAGGGTTTATGACGTACAGCGGTCAAAGGTAGGCATTTCTGCCCGACAGCCACACATCGTCATAAAACAACCCCGGTTTGGCTTCTTTTATGAAGCTGACTGGGTCAGAAGCCGGTAGTAGTTTCTTCTTACAAAACTGTAATGCATCCAAGCCCCTGGAACACTTTCACAATAGCTTTTCTGCTTGTTCCTTGGATGCTAGTTAGTGGCATGACACAACCACCGCCACAAAGTGCTCTCGCTCTCATTGCCAGGGGAGGTGAAAGGAGACAAGCAGGCGGGCGGATTTCTCTCGTGCCTCCTTGGATTGCAAAAGACGCGTGCGCCTCGTCCTGGGATTTTGTTAGGAAGGCAGAGCGCGCCGAGAAGGGTATTAAATCAGTCTTTTGTGACCTGAATCCATTCTGGTCTTTACAGCCCAGATCAATCAATCAGGAGTTCTGGTTTATTCTGTTGTTTATTTACACCCTGTTGTTCTTTTCTGGAGAATACAGAAATCTAGTGTTTGACTTTCACTTAACCAGGCACGCTGCATGTCGATCGAATGGTTCAGAATCTCTTGTTTAATGCACCAATCTTAAATGAGTTAAAGTTCTGGTGTTTGAAAAGCCATGTAGGTTGGGATTTCTGTGAAGTTGTCTTGATTAAAGTTAAGCCTCTTGGTTGCTCAGAAGACGCCTGGTGACTCCAGGGCAACGGTATGAGAAAAAATAAATAAAATATGGCATGCCTGTTGTTTAATCCCCTGTTTTAACATGTTGAGAGCGGGCAGTGTAATAAAGAATCGGGCTTCAGTTCAAATCTTAATTTAGCAATAAACTCTTTCTGAGTCAGTCTATGGAATAATTAGTGACTGACTATAAATGATGACCAAGGCAAGCAAAATAGTATGTAGAAATGTTACAGATGTAAAAATGGTCATGTATATATGCAC